TGTTAATGATTAATGTTAGCAAGTAACGTCACGTAAGATGAGAGAATAGAAAAAAGCGAATGATTGGTTTAATAATAGGTACCTAAACCTTTTCCAGGACCTGTCACCACCCACGTAGGCGAGGCATCTAAAATACCATGAATAAGTAATACAGCTGGTTTATTAACTGACGGAGGACTTTCCTTCGATCCTGTGATTCTATCCATTCGCAGGATATAACCATCCTGTGTGACAACTTCATGACTCTCGGCTGGATATCCCGCTTTCTGCACAATGTCTGTCTATAAAATGAAATAGAAGTTAGACTTATAGTTTCACACGTTACTTGTACATGACATTGATTGTCCGGAAATTATGCAAACGCAATTTCTGTCTCAAAAACTATGGGACATGCTTGCGAATAGTCAGAAAATGTTAACTTTAAATAAAACTTTACTTACTGCAGTTGGAACTTCATTGTCAAAGGGTAATTTAAGAATTTCGTTTGCCTCCTTACATTGCCCAAAGGATACTGCTATGATTACTGGCAACATGCAGCACAAAATTTCCTTTTTAAACATTGTGGTAAATGATTCGTAACTACGAGTTGCTTCGTATTCTTATATACCTCCATATTGCTTTATATAAGCTTATCGCACAAATTAAGTAACAATCTACCTAAGTGAAGGAATATTACTCTTACATTTTCTCTTATCCTTTGTATAATAATACAGACCAAAATAAAAAATAGAGTGCTTTTAAAAAAAATGTTTTTTCGACAAATAACTATTAAGATTTTCTTTATAGGAACCTGTAAAACAAATCGTTAACATCGCATAACGTATTCTATCTTTACACTATTCTATTTTTATTATAAATTTAATCTTTTACGAGATATTTCTCCGTTGCGAGATAAAGTATAATATGACATCAGATTGACATTGACGCAAGATTTATATGAAATTCGCTATCAATTATCGATTACCAGTCCATTAAAAATAAACTAAAAATCCCTTTTAAGTGTCTGCATGTTATTATTTCTCTAAGTATAAGAAATGCCAAAGAATTTCGTTTGAAAATTGTGTGGTATTAAAGCTGATAAATGATGATGACAACTGCTCGACCCTGAGATAACGTTGAGTTAAAGTCATTACGTTTTCATGTAATGACCTA